AAANATTTATAGCATATTTGGCCGTACTTCTAAATCAGCTTATTTTGATAAGTTATTTTCTCAAAATTGCTTTTCAAAAAAAATATTTTTGGTGAAAGCAGTTTATGTTTGACTAATCAATCTGAAAAGCACCTTTGAGCAACAATTAGTATTTATGTCAAGATTTTAAAAAGTACTTCGAAGCGTATCTTTCTCAAAAATGTCTTTTAGGGAGAAGTTATTTTTTTCTGCTTCTCAAAAACTATTTATGCTTCTAATCATAAGCTTTTTTTCTCTTCTAAAAGGTTTGTCAAACACCTTAACTTTGAGGAAAAGGCACTTTTGACCCCAAAAAAAAGAAAAAAAAGAAGAAGCACTTTTGGCCAACAAGAAGCACGAACGAACATGCTATTAGAGTGAATAGGTTAAAGACGCCAAAAACTATTACCATTTTGAGAGTTTCATACCTAAATTATTGGGTATTTCACATAACTCCCCTGAACTATGAACTCATATTAAAATACCCCTAGAGGAATATGATCTACTATGTGAACATCACGCTCCAAAAACTCTTCCAAAGAGTTTCAAGTGGCAGTACATGTGGAATAAAAGTTTGCGTCAATAGGTTAAAATTCCCTTAAACTATCACTTTTTTGCAAGCTTCATACCTAAACTACTGCGTATTCACAAAACTCGTGTTAGAAATGGTTAGGTGGACTCTTTTTTAAGCTCTCACGCGCCTCTCAGCGAGTTATCTCAATTTTTTTACCTCATATTCAATCAGGTAGTTTTTAATCTAAAGAGAGTAATAGTCCATGGGGTAACGTAAACACCAAATAATTTAGGTATGAAACTCGCAAAATGGTGATTGTTTAGAGGAGTTTTAACCATTCACTCTATGATTAGTACTAGTTGATTCTTTTACGTCCATATACCAAGAATCAAATGTTATACTTTGTGACCTGTGCACATATCGATTGCCTGACAAGCTTCTTTTGTTGAGCAGACACATTCAAGAAGTTTGACACTTTTGTGAGAGAATCAATGGTAATCGATTCCCTCTCTCTAGCTTTACATTAATACATGGGTTGGTCGCTTTGTGCATCAGCTAATGATTCCATCACATTTTTCTTCATCATTTCTTGCATTGACGGACACCCAACAAAGGTCCTAGACAATGATTTAAAAGTAGACATCTTTTGTTTCAAGCTCTCATCATAAACTCTTGCGCGGTCATTAATATTGACTAGCTTACCATCAACTAAGTCCACATGCTTTAGTAAGTGGCTCATTTTTGTTAATTTTGAGAAAGCTTTTTCATTGCCATTGTATGAGGTATAAGGTTCTTCATACTACTCAATGCCATTGTAAGGCCAACTTAAAGTAAAAATAAACAATGCAATTTAATCGACTGAGACTGCTCTGTTTTCTGCTTATGCCGATTGGGTCCTCCATTATACAATTAAAAACAAACCTGGATCCGAAATTCAAGATATACAGTCCAAATCTTTTTGTGCAGCATTTCCTCGATCAGCTTGTGAGCATATATCTCTTTCAATCACCGGGAAACTGACGAGAAATCAAATATAAGATTACAAATCATGCCGAATAGCATAAGTTTTCAACCATACAGTAGGTAATTGCAAGACTGCTGAAGAAGGAGAAGAACAAAAGAAGAAAAGGAGAGTGAAATGTATTTTGAGGGGAAAAAGAGTGATGCACGTACCACATCGAAAATAAAGAGTAAAACCAGACTTTGTTACAATATAAAAAGGGAGGCACTGACTGTTGTAAAACTCACTCAGCCACGCAGTGAGCACGCGAACTATTCTTTCGCCTTTTACTAAAGAATACCGTGTGCGCGCTGTATTCAGTGGCATAAGCCTATTTTTGGAGGGGTTCTCTTCTTTGAGTACCCCCTACAATTCTAGTTTCAGTCTTGCGTATGTTTAACTCTTTTCAGTATTAAAGTAGCACACAGCCTGTTTAGATTAGTTGAAAATAACTTATTTAAATTCTAAATTAATCTCATCCAGCTTCTTTCTAGCTTTCTTTCCTCTCTTAGTTATATGTGTTTTTCGTCAAATTGTGTGAAAAAAAAGGAAGCTATAGTTTTTACGATTAAGCTCGCCAATCATCTCTACATCTCACACAGCCTTGCGATGAGTTAACTGTTCTTTTGCCGTTCACTAAAGAATATTGCAGTTTTCCCTTGGGTTTCTTAACTGAGTGTCCCATCAATTTTAGTTTCAATCTTGTACACGAATGATAAGACAGAACATTGCGCATCTAATAAGTGGTTGAGTGGTGGACTATGAAGACTAGTACTGACTTAAACAAACATGATAATCCGTCAATAAAAAATCAAAACATAAATACTTAGGAATAACAATGAAAAAACATTGTTGATGAAATTGCAGTCTCAGAACTGTACAATGCCAGTCTCACGGCCCTGTTTCCATATGCCATAGCCACATATCAATGCAACTCCTATATTTAAGAAAAAAGACGTAGGATCTTAGCATTTAGCAGAGCGAATTCCATAAAAAATTAGTACTGTGTTTTGGAAAACATAGGATCTTTGCAATGTGGTTAGGGGATTGCACCAAATGCTATAATTCCATAAGTTTTGACATCTGGTATGAAAGATTAATGTAAATCCTGCATATGTCTGCAAAGAGGAGGCACTGATCAAAGCCAAAATCCACTTTGAACTGTAAAATCAATTGATCAGTAACCCCTACTTAAAGATAGAAAATTGATGTAAATACCTTAATTTTTATGTCAAAAGAGAAAACTGTGAACCCAATGATAAAACGCTCACTTCTCCATAGCTACACCAAAATCCACATGGTTAGTATACTGGCAATAGAGGACTTAAAAGAACTGAGTTTGTATCACTAGGATCTAAACACTGCTTATCCTATTCAAAGAGAAGATAGCTTACGCACAAGATGTCCCATATCGGCTAACACAAAGAAAACCAAGAGCTGGAGGGATATAAAATCATAGGGAGGAGCATCAAGGGAACATACTTACCTGGACGGGGTCAATGGGTGATCAATAAGAGCCATGGCCTAGGTTGGTGACCTCCATTGCACTTTGGAGGGGTGCCCGCCTAAGGTCGGCCCTAGTGGTCGAGCCTACGTCATAATTTGTGGCAGTGGGGGCCTGCGTTCGCGCGGCCCCTATCTAAGTCATCAACAAAAGTGTTTCACTCAAGGCATGAATATTGTGTCCTTGTGAATTCGTTGAGTTCCCCTTACAATTCTATGCCAATATTTGTAATTTTATTGTACTTGTTAAATAAATGAGAGTTTTGTCGAACTCCAATTTGTTAATTTAGATTTGCATGACATTAGTAACTCTAAGTTGTTTGCCTTTCTATATTTGGGCGTGAGGACTGAGGATGGAATTACTTAGTCTACTGTTGAAATTTATTCTAATTACTTTTAGCCTTTTCCTTCCCATTATTCACGTCTTTGAGAGAATCTCATGTTTTTTTTGGACCAAACAGTTATGGCACAACCCAACTCTATGTCTTGTTCATAGGTATGGTGAAATACCACTTAGACAAAATGCCTTTCACTAAAAACCATGATGTCAATGAGACACATTGCACATCAACTATTTGGTTGACTATGAAGACTAGTACACGATTTGGATAAAAATGACAAGTTTGAGAAATTATCTAGAAAACAAAAAACAGTTGGAGAGTAACTTTTATGCATCTAGAGATACTTGTGCTTTATGCATATGGAGATCAAACTATAAACTCAATGATAAAAAACTATTGTTGAACACATTAACAATCTCTTCCAAGCCCTCTTTCCATAGGCCATAGCTATATTTAAATAAGGTTGCATATTCAAGTAGGCGGATCCAGCATTTGAGATTATGGGATCTGGATTCTAGAAAAGATAGTTTAATGGGTTCTGAATAATTATTTATATATATTTAGTAGATTTCTTAACACAAATACATAGTTTTGGCGGAAGCTACTGGTTCTAACGAATCGTAACTAGAACTCCAACTCCGCCCGAATGATGAGGAGGAAATGGCCTGTAGGATCTTTGCATTGACCTATGCGAATTCCACCAAATACTTTACTCCCAAAGTTCCATAAANTGTGTGTGCGCTGCATTCAGTGGCATACGCCTATTTTTGGAGGGGTTCTCTTCTTTGAGTTCCCCCTACAATTCTAGTGTCAACCTTTAATGAGTTGTTTGATAGGCATACTATCTGAAGAACCAAGTGTGAATGATTTGGGTCTCTTCCTAAGTTAATTTCTCAGAATGGAAATGAACATCACTTATCAAACTGAACCATGGACCAAAGACGGAAATGAAGCCCTAGAAAGAGAGGGCACCTGCACCGTTTTTGTTTATAAAAACAGGCATCACTGAAGATGTAATTATGTTTTATTTTTCTGATATAATGTGAGCAAATGTATTACCTCAATTAATTCATTATTTTACTCGTTCTAGAAAGTTTATTTATTCTCGATTCCAGCTTCAGTAAGATAAAAGTTAAATTGGCAGTGCTGATTTTTTGTAACATTTCAAAAATAAGAGTACTTTTCCCCTGAATAAGAGAGTATTGGATATGATGTCTAATTTCACACAATTCTACTTGAGGATGGGGAATTATAGTAAATCTATCTGCTCCAAATTGTGACGTTCTAACAAAAAAAAGGCAGAACTCATACTGAATTATTAGAATGTAATTAGCTACAATCTTAAAATAAAACCATATTTGAGAGACTTGTTATTAATAATATAACTCAGAAAGAGGTAATAAGTGGCTGAGTATATTCAGATGGTGGAGTGCAGTTCCACTGCTTTAAAATTTGCATATTTCAAATTTTCTGACCAAATATGACAATACAAAAACCGTTTACCGTTCAGTTCTATTTATACTTAGGTTAAGTTTCCACATAGCAGAATGCCGTTCTTCAAGAATTTTGATATCAATAGCGGACATCGGATCAAATAAATGGTTTAGTTGACTGTTGGATAATGAAAACCAGCATTGATTTGAAACAATATAATTTTAGCACTCACTATTTACATAGGTAAGACACTATGACATCCATCACGATCACATCCTACCATTGATTGTGGCCAGAATTTGGCTAGAAATTATGACGATCAGCATAACTTGCTAAAATTTTGGCGATAGTCAGTAGAGGCTTTAAAATTCTGGCGCCGTACTTTTTCCAAAAACTTCTGTACCTGGGTCAAAAATCAATAGTGCCTCAAAAGTATCTTATTTGTGTTATTCTCCTCAATCTCAATAGTTTTGAATTCTTATTTACTGTAAACATCATTAACATTCCCCATTGCATCATCTTTTCAAGCGCGTACAACAGCCTGAGATTCATCATATTTTCCAAACCTCAAATATATGAATGGGTAGATAAGCGCGTCCTTGTCATAAGCAGCAAGTAAAAAATCACCAACTAAGTTGAAGGAGTTCAGCAGTGAGCAGCATCACAAATTTACCAAAACTTGGTGGAATATGGCAGCAAGTCTTTTCTTATAATGACCCTTTTCAAGATAAGATTGGTCCAGCCTGTGCAAGTTGAAGAAAAAAAAGGAGGAATATCTAACATTTAATTGTCCTATAACATCATAAACCAAGGCAAGTACACTACAATGGATTACAATTTGAATAGCAAAACCAATTTATGAAATATAGTGTCTGACTCGACCATCTGCAACAAAACAGATGAATTGATGATTGCGTTGTAACTCAGACAATAAAGTTTCCCCATCATAACTAACATCCTGAAAATGATATGACAGAGGAGAAGCATTTTTTATGGCAGCAAATAGTTGATCACATACTAACCTACGATACAAGTCCGGCATCAGCAACTAATAGAATGCAGCAAGAACATAGTGTTTCTATAGGTAAATGACTTATTCTCCGCACCAATGCACCACAAATGTCCTTGTACTTCTAGGTCGCCTTTCATTCCTGCTGTTTCCCATACAAACTTGAAAAGCCCCAGAACTCTGCTTAGCTGCTTTACCCCACTCTGCAGTATATTCTGCTCATTGGATGTTAAGATCTTTCCCATGCACAGACGGAATTTATCCCCGCGACCAATTGCATAAAGTCCTCCACAAACTTCAACTTCAATATCCCATATGCTGCCATAAATATAATAAAGAAGAAGTGTGAACACACATCGTGATGAGTGACCCAATGTTTTACTCAACTTCTTGCGCACTAAACTCTCCTGGTGGCGAGTTTCCTTATATCCAATGCTTTTGTCTATCAGAACATCCCTAATCTGATAAAGCCCTTCTTTCATGACCTCAAGCTTCTTAACCTCCGAAGTTAATTTAGTCTCTTCACACAAGCAATTAATAAGGTCGAGAAACATTTCAAGAACATCTTCCCACTTGTGAGAAGTGGGTAACTCCGCGCCTTTGGCAGGTGCGAGGCGCATCCATGAAGTGGATTCAGGGTCATAAGAAGTGGCACTTTCTAAAAACTTTTGACAAGTTGCAACTATTTGCTGCGCCATTTTAATTTCTTTACTTGGACACCTACTATTTAGAAAATCTATCTCAGATTTCAGTCCAGTCAATATCTCCTCGAGTGCCCCTGTCCATATCGGGTACTTTGTGACCTGTGCACATACTGATTGCCTGACAAGCTTCTTTTGTTGAGCAGACACATTCAAGAAGTTTGACACTTTTGTGAGGGAATCAATGGTAATCGATTCCCTCTCGCTAGCTTTACTGAAATACACGGGCTGGTCGTATTGTGAATCAGCTAATGCTTCCATCACATTCTTCTTCATCCTTTCTTGCATTGACGGACACCCAACAAAGGTCCTAGCCAGTGATTTAAAAGTACACATCTTTTGTTCCAAGCTCTCATCATAAACTCTCACGCGGTCATTAACATTGACTAGCTTACCATCAACTAAGTCCACATTCTTTAGCAAGTGACTCAATTTTGTTAATTTTGAGAAAGCTTTCTCATACCATTCAGAAGGCAAAGACTCCTCATGGAATTCTTCTGGGCCGTGATAAAACCTCATCATTCCACTTTTACTGGCTATCAATATCTTAGCTCGAGGTATAACGTTCCTCATACTACTCAACGCCATTGTACGGCTAACCTAAAGTAAGCATAAACCATGCAATTTAAACGACCGAGAACTGCTTTGTGATCTATTTTTGCCAATTGAGTCCTCCATTATACAATTAACAACCAACCTGGATCTGAAATTCAATATATTTAGCCCAAATCATTCTGTGCAGCATTTCGTCGATCAGCTTGTGAGCATATATATATATATCTCTTCACAATCACCTAGAAACTGAAGCGAAATCGAATATTAGATTACAAATGATGCAGAACCACAAAAGTTGTTTTTATTTTGAAAAACCTGTAAATTCCAACCATATAGTAATTGCAGGACCGGTGAAGAAGGAGAAGAACAAGAAGAAGACGGAAAGAGTAATATACTTTGAAGCCTCAAGGGGAAAAAGAGTGATGCACGTACCACATCGAAAAGAAAGAGTAAATCCAGACTTTGTTACAACATAAAAAGGGAAGCACTGGCTATTGTAAAGCTCACGCAGCCATGCAGTGAGCACAAAGCGAACTATTCTTTCGCCTTTTACTAAAGAATACCGTGTGCGCGCTGCATCTAGTGGCATACGCCTATTTTTGGAGGGGACCTCTTTACTGAGTTTCCCCGACAATTCTAGTTTCAACTATGTTTATGATTGTTAGCTTTTTTTTATATTTTCCCATCAGAAAAATCGTGTTATAAGGGTGGTGAAACATTCAAAATTATACTCCAGTGAACGAAGGGAGTACTGGGAAAACACGTGGGGTTAATCTTATTGTATAGGTAAATAGTCTGGGGAAACAAATAAATAAAAGTAAAATTCGTAAAAGGAAAGAAATATGATTGACATAATTTTTGTATAGCAAATTTGTCCGAATTTCCTCTAAAAAAATAAGAGAAGACTAGTTTAAAACAAACCAAACGAGAAAAGAGATCTAAACTAGAACCATAGCAGTAACTATTCCAAACCAACTTTGAGTGGTCGTTTGGTAATCAGGATAAGGATGTTTGGTTATCAAGATAAGGATTATAATCTCGAACCTTGAGATTTGATTGGGATAAGGATTATAATCTCGAACCTTGAGATTTGATTGGGATAAGGATTATAATCTTGAACCTTGAGACTTGATAATATTGTCAATATTATAGATAAAAGAGAGGACTTTTAGCTTCTGTCATTGATCCTAATGGTCTTTTATCTGCGATACTGACATAGGCTACTAAAAAAGTTCTCTATGTCAATATTGACATAGACTACCGAGAGGAGCTACTTAATATGGGGATTGCATGGCTAGTTAAATCCTTAAGCTTCAAATGCACGAATTAAGACTGAAGCGAACCTCTACTTAGAGTCGAGTGATCTAAACACAGTTTGCATGTAGTAAAGGAATTAGATAGAAATCCCTCAATTATAACATTCCTAGTTTGTGGTTCTCACCATCTAAATGCAACCATACAACGATAATTTACTACTCATAATCACGATACGCCAACGGAGGACAAACTAATATTTTGGGGAGTTGGCTGTAAATTAGTAGTGCCACTCCGATAGTCCCAAATTGGGTTACAGCTTTACAAGGTTCCACTAAAACACACATGCATAAAATGATTACTCCAAAAGAAAGGACGTTTTACCCCGAGCTCCCTGCAACAATAACTTCGGTGGAAAATGCTCTTTCCAGAGCCACTGAACACTTTGATGAATTTGAACTTTCATGTGAAAGAATTCTATCAGTTACATCGGCTAATCAAGATAAAAAGGAATGTGAGAATGAACCCAAGTTACAAAAATTACAAAATGGCAGGGGGCCGATGCAGGTCCCCACAAACTACAAAAAGGTATCCTCCTATCCAACAACTAAATCTTAATGATACAATTTTCTTCCCTTCTTTTTCACATTTTCATTTTCCCCTTTTCCATAATTTGCACTAATTGTCCGTTCCCCCCATTTACAGGTACAACAATTTCTTTTTTTCTTTTTCTCCCAAACTTCTTTTTCCTCTCATCTGATGGATTTTCTAGGGTAATGCTGTGTCAAAAACTCCTATACCTTCACGACTCAGTAAATCACAACTCGAAGAAGCCCAGGTTGTGGCTCAGAGTAATCAAGGCCCTCCTCTAGCAGGTAACGCTGGACAGAAATGGGAAGCCTAGCAGGAGTCCGCGAACCCTTTGTATGGTGTCCTGTTCCAACGCAAATGTAAACCTGTATTCGCTGGTCTGCTGATCTGGCAGCATTTCTCAACACAGACAGCTCACGCTTAAGGACATGAATAGCTTCACTAACATGAAGCCCATGCAGGTCTATGATTCTCTCTTGTCCTCTCCCATTTCCCTGCATCTCTGGACTGACTGGATTCCTGTAAAGAATTTTAAGTACATAAAGAGACACCTAAATATTCTTTACATTAAAAAAATTCGTTGAAAAAGAGATTTTATCAAAAATTTTTAATTTTTTTTGGGGGGGGGAGTGGAGGGACTGATGCACGGAACTTCTTCAGCAGGAGGTTTTGTGTTGACTGCTTAAAAGCTCAAGTAGCATGAATATACAGTTCAGCACTGGCATCCTCTCTGACATTTTGTGTCATTGCACAGTGAGAAGCTGAAATGCACAGCACCTGACGATTGTAAAAGCTACCTAAGCAGCACATGCATGAAAATTGAAAAATGCTGGAAATCAACAGAAAGATAATTTGACTTTGTGCGAAGCAGAAGAATTAGAAAATCGCTGCCTGAGTGAGATTAAGATTGTGAAAATTCTAGAGTCTCAAATTCTGGTTAAAGGACATCACCAGCATATAAAAACATTAATATTAAGAGTTTAGGGTGCCAGACAATACACGTGGAGAAAAAAACAGACCTTAGGCGATATATAGATTCTTGAGCCTTCCCATGAGCTGCCTTCATCTGCATGTTGTGCAGCTGTCCTTTGACACTCAGTTCTTTGGCCAAAGCCTTGTTACCAATAAGGTATGCCTGACGAGCCTACTCATAGACAAAGTTACAAAGGTTAAGGATCTGGTAGTGCTGCGTAAGAGAGCCAAGTTTACATGACATGATCATATTGGAATAAATTCCTGCCGCAATGATACTTAATCCTAAAAAGAATTCGTGATGGAGTGAAGCTAAATATCAAATGTTACATAGGTGCAACAGCCAACACATTAATTTTGGAAGTTGAGCAACAGCCAACTCATTATGATCATCCTACAATAAGATGGCCTTAGCAATTTGCAACAGCCGTAGTAGCATTATGATGAAATAGGAAGTGCAGACAATCACTTCTAATCTTAAAGTCCCAGGGCTTTGGTTCAATGGTAAAGGTGCAAGCATAAGATTTGAGGGTTAAGGCGCACGTCACAGTTCGAATCCAGCCGTAAACAAAGCCTGCTGGAAGGAGGGTCGAACCAGAACCCATAGAGGATTTCTTCGATATTAAAGAAAGAAAAAAAATCACTTCTAACTTCACCATCAGCACCCTTTAAGAACTTTCCAAGGGTCATCATCAATTATTGGTCCCAATTCCAGGTTAACTTCCCTTAACAAGTAAATTATACATGTTTCATGGCATTCTTTCTTCTTTCTCTTGCGGAGTTTCGGGAAGAAGAGGGCTAAAGTACTATCCCTTGTGGCTTTACATACTAATACGAATGCAAATTTAAGTGAGTTCACATTTACACGTCTATCCACCTTTGCAATCATTATGTATACCACATACCTGTTCAAAGTATGCATTACGTAAGCGTGCATGGTCACGAGCCTCTTCCCGCATTTCAGAATATACATTTGCTGCAATCTCGACAAAGTTAAAGGACATAGACGTGCAGAAATTATTTTCCTCAATGAACATTCAAAAATTATATTGGCTGCTTTAGGAAAACATTACCAACTGCTTCTCCAGTTTCAAGCCAAACGGGAGCTGCACGCGTGGAACCTCGGCTCTGCAACCTATCACCATAAACTCCCCTGTTCTGCCCACCAGTGTAAGAACTAGCCAAGACAGATGAATTTCTACTTGATCCAACAGTAGCATCAGCTACTCCAGTCCTATCATACTTCCATATGCTAGAATCCTGAGAGGCCATCTTCCTGACAGCAGATGCAAAATCTGTAGCACCTCGTGAAGGGATGGAAGATCCAGATCTAAACAGAAGGGTGTTTTCTTTTTCAGAAGACCTATAGGGATTGACATTTTGTTGAACATCATTGCCAGAGTACTTTAGGCTGCTGTTTTGACTTTCTGCCACACAGAGAGCAGGGAAATCCAGAGCACTAAGATTTGGAGCAGATACGGCTTTTGAATTCATATTTTGATTCAACCCACAGTCAACTTGAAGCTGTATAAAGTGTGTTGAGCTATTAGTACGTAATCGAACGTTCCTAAGAACAGAGTCTTCACTGGAAATTCAATCTCCAAAACTATCAGATAGATGATGACGAGAAGTTTCAACATTCCCTATATTGTGTCCATTACCAATATTCTGTTCAGTGCAACTAATTTGACTGAACATCTAACTATTTAGTATAATCTAAACAATTATTTGCTTTTGACTCGAGACAATCTAACAAACACAAAAATGACATAGACTACTAGGACACTGGGACTCAATGATGACAGCTAATTGATTAAACTTTTTTGTTTTATAAGTAGCTGCTTGACTAACTTACCACACTTAGTGTAGAATTTTCTAGACAATTATAAGCATAAAAGACTTAAACATCACGTGGAGAAAAATCTGGATTCCTCTATTTAACAAGACACGGGGCTCAGATAATTCTAATCCCTGATCAATACTTCCCAAAAGTTGGATACACTCAGAGGAAATAAATAAATAATAATCAACCAGTAGGCCATATAGACAATCAAATCCCAGCCTATACTGGTTAACAGAACTGCAGTACTTTAAGGTAACAGATCAAGTCATGAAGATTAGAAAGGCAATTGCCTTTTTGAAGTAAATACAATTGTATGCTACTGTATCCATTAAGATTAAGAAAGTGAACCATACCTCAAGCTGAGTAAGCATTTCAATTGTCAGATTCAAGTCACCTCCATTGGCATAGTACACCTCTGCAACACTTTCAGCAGCAAAACCAGGAAATTGGGAGGCCAAAAATTCAAGAGGGTTTACATCTGCTTCAAAAAATGGTTGCTCATTCGTCATGTCCGCAAAGAAGCTGTTTCCTGAATTCCCGTTATAATGAGGCCCCTCCCTAATATTGCCGAAAGGCTGGTCATTGGTCAGAGATGGCTTGTCCCAGGGTTTAGCAGGCAGATGAAAACTAGTTGGGGATGCATCTTCGTTGAAAGATGTAATAGGATATCCTGTCTTTTCAGCAAAGCTGGTCCCATTAACCCGAGGAGAGAATTCCTGCTGGTCCTTCAGCATAAAGCCACTGCCAGTTGAGGCAGGGAATATTGAAGCTTCATTGACATCACTTATTGATAATCTAGAAAATGGAAGACTGCTGACTCCATGAGAATCTTCTTCTCCCACGAAATTGAAGTCCGGCGTAATATCATCCGGGAGCTGGCGACGCCAGTACTGGTGGGCTTCATCATCTGAGTTATTCGAAACAGATGACTCTGATCTATCTAGTACAGCTTTTCCCGGAGTTGTGGTGGAGTTAGAAAGCTTTGCCGCATCTATACTGCTAGTGCTACCTGAGGGTGATCTGAGTGCAAAGGGAACAAATTCTGCAGCATTTGGATTCAAGCTGGTCGCTTTTGCTAAGGTTAGCTTTTTGTCACTAGTAGGAGTCCCTTTTCCTGTAAAGCTCATTCTTTTCTTTTCGTTACTTTTTATTTCCTCTTTCTTGTTTCAACTAGGTTAAGAAAATAAAGGGTATCTATGTGCTTAATTAAACTTGTAATTATAAGAAGATGCAACTATGCAATCCTTGTCACCCAAACCCTGCCAAAAAGAAAGAAAAAAGATTCAAAAACTTAACTACTCTATCAACATCTTTAAGTCCAAAATTCAAGATAAAAATAATCGTAAAACAACTATGACCACTTTTCATAGGCCAAAAGCTGAGAAGAAATGATCAACAACAGTTTTACCTTATCACAACAACAACAATCAGATATTAATCATATAAACAAACACATATAGAGTTTAAAGCTGGAATACATGGTCAATGAAGTGGATGAAAACTATGAGAAACCAAGGTTCAAATCCATGTTGGACAAAAGACACTAGTGAATTCTTCCAATCTGCCTAAGCCATAGCGGGCAGAGTTACTCGATGACTCAATAACTTTGTTGGTGGGAGGTGGCATGTACCCGGTGGATTAATCGAATTGCACAAAAGTTGGATCGGACACCACGTCAACACCATTGTATAAAAAAGGGAAAACAGAAAGGAACAAACACAAGTATGAACACATAGCTTTAGGTGGTCCGATAATAACTAACTCATTGCATGTTGTGTATAGATTCATCTAAATTTCGAGTTCAGTATATATTAAGTTACTTCAATCAGAAAACTCATCATCCGCCAAGTCTTGCATTATGTTCACATTAGACATGAATAACATCTATAATCAATCAACTACGCTCTGATCGTCGGGTCAGCTGTATGAATCCCTGTATCCAACCCACTGTATTTCATATCCATATCATTCCAGTACTAAATAATTTCGCTAATAATATCTAAGACTACGAGCATAAAGTGCAAATTATAAACCACAATTAGCAAAGCTTGATGTCAATTGTACTTGCACATCTCCATATTTAAACATAATAACATTAAATCCTAATCATACAAACAAATAATTCAATAAACCTTATCATTTTACCAAACTATTTCAACAAACTAGTGATACTTAACTGTGATAAATTCTATTCATGCAAAGCAAGAATTTTACTAAACCTCACTTTACCAAACTATTTCAACAAACAACAAGAATCACCACTAAAATAGACTTAATTTTTATATATATCAAATAAACAATAATAAAACTAAAAACAAAAAATTCACTGCTCCAAGACCAATAATATCCAGGGATCTCCATGAATCTCAACAGAATTTGAAATTTAACACAAAAAACAGAAACAAAACAAATAATTCAACCAGGAAGTGTAAAAATCATAAGATCTGAGAGAGATATAAGAATATACCTTTACGAAGCTCGATTATGGACGAAACATAATCGAATGGATCCATTAGCTGCAGATGTTGACGATAAGGTTTTTCAGATTCAACGATAACACAGCAGAAAAAAATATTAGAAAAAAATATTGAAGAAACAAAGAGAGTCAAAAAGAGTACATAACAGAAAAAATACAAAGGCAAAATGATATGAGAATTCTTCTGCTCCGCTGTTGTTCTTGGATGTCTTAGCTGAGAGAGAGAAAGAGACAGAGAGAGAGAGAGAGAGGGTTTTAATTTTAATTTTTTATTTTTGTGTGTTTTTTCTATCTCAATATATCTAAACATCTATCAGTATGTTTATCTATCTGCTATTCTACTGCTCTACTAATTCTAGCTTTGCGTTTTTCTTTTTCCTTTTTTCTATTTCTTTCTCCTTTTTTTCTGCCTGATAATTTCATTTTTCCCTTTTCTTTGTTATTTTTTTAGCTTTTAGAAAATCCATTCTTTGTGACCACATAATAAAAGGTCAAGTGAAACCTCAACCCTGCGCCACTCAATATCAACCCACCTACCCTTTAGTACTTCCCCAAGCCGCCATCTCTTTACGTTAGGAAAAAAATAATAGATGCATTAGTTTTTGTATTATCCTATATATAATTAATAATTTATTATGACATTAGTAATATTATAATTTTTAATATATAAATAAGTATATATATACACATATGCAATGCATGTTATTTTTTAATATATCAAACCAAATAGTAAATAAAAAATAATCTCAGCAATCCCAGCATTACGAATCCTATCATTACTAATATACCTTATTCAATAGTATTCTTATACACCCTACCAAACGACCTCTGATACTACTATGATACTATGTTTATACATATGAGAGTAATAAAAAAGTTCGGGTTATTTTTTGCAGATAGTTATTGAACTTTACTGTTAAAAAATATTGTCATAAAATTATTTTTTATTTTATTGAAAATAGTTGAGCTATATTTGAATTGCTCAAAAAATAAAAATGATCAAAAATTAAAATCCTTAATACAAGATTATGAGACTCGCTCGCAAGTCTCAATGCCATTAATTTTTGCATTATGTATTCACTCTAGAAAAAAAATCACTGGTATAATTTTTTTACTATAACTTTTGTATATATATATATATATATATATATATATATATATATATATATATATACAAAAACCCAGTAAAATCTCACAAATGGGGTCTGGGAGGGTAGAGTGTACGCAGACCTTACCCCTACCCCGAGGGAGTAGAGAGGTTATTTCCGTTAGACCCTCGGCTCAAGAAGACGACAAGAGAAATAATATATCAGTACTCTCAACAAACAATAATAGAAATAATGACAGCAACATAAGAACCAAAGAATAGATGCAAAGCACTAACAATAATCAGTAGATAAGGTTCGGCACAAAGAAAAACTGTAGAATAGTGTGAACACAACATGAACCACTAGCAGTCTAAGACAAAACCCTATCAGACTAGCCTCACACCTATACAAAGTAGAACAATGCTCAACCACCTCCTAACCCACAACCATAATGCTCGACCTCCACACATTCCTATCAAGGGTTGTGTCCTCGAAAATCTGAAGCCACACCATGTTCTGTCTGATCACTTCTCCCCAATACTTCTTAGGCCACCATCTACCTCTTCTCGTACCCGTCAAAATAGCCCATTAACACCTCCTTACTAGGGCATCTGGACTTCTCCTCCGAATGTGTCCGGACCATCTGAGCCTCGCTTCCCGCATCTTGTCATCCATAGTAGCTACGCCCACCTTCTCCCGAATATTTCTATTCCTAATCTTATCCATCCTAGTATGCCCGCACATCCACCTCAACATCTTCATTTCTACTACTTTCATCTTGTGGATATGTGAGTGCTTAACTGGCCAATACTCAGTCCCATACAATATGTACGGTCTAACCACCGCTCTATAAAACTTATCTTTAAATGACAGAGGCACTTTCTTGTCACACAGTACTCCAGATGTTAGCCTCCATTTCATCCACCCTACCCATATACGGTGTATAACATCCTCGTCTATCTCACCCATCCCCTTGGATAACTGACCTAAGGTACTTGAAACTGTCTCACTTGGGGATGACTTGTGATTCAAGCCTCACTTTCGTGCTTGCTTTTCTCGGCTTCGCGGCGAACTTGCACTTCAGGTATTCCGTCTTAGTCTCTGTCTCCAAACCTCTAGACTCAAGGGACTGTCTCCAAACATCCAATATCTCGTTAACGCCACCTCACGTCTCATCGATCAGAACTATGCCATCATCGAATAACATACACCATGGCACCTCCCATTAAATGTGGTGTGTCAGTGCGTCCATAACCAAGGCAAATAAGAACGGGCAAGCGCAGATCCTTGGTGTAACCCCATAACAACCGAAAAATACTTTGAGTTGCCTCCCACTGTCATAACTCGAGTCTTAGCTCCATCATACGTGTCCTTAATTACCCTAATGTAGGCAACCGACACACCTTTAGCCTCTAAGCATCTCCAAAGAACCTCTCTAGGGACCTTGTCATACACTTTCTCCAGGTCAATAAATACTATGTGCAAATTCATCTTCCTATCCCTGTACTGCTCCACCAACCCCCTAATAAGGTGAATAGCCTCCGTAGTTAAATGACCCGGCATGAACCCGAACTGGTTATCGAATATAGACACCGTCCTCCTTACCCTCACTACTACCACCATCTCCCAAACTTTCATGGTATGATTTAGTAACTTGATACCCCTATATTTGTTATAACTCTGGATATCACCTTTGTTCTTGTACAACGGAACCACTGTGCTCCATCTCCATTTATCTAGTATCCACTTCATCCTGAAAATAACATTAAACCCAGTCAGCCACTCCAAGTTTGCTCTACCTACACACCTCCAAAATTCTACTGGGATTTCGTCTGATATGGTTGGTCTACCCTTACTCATCTTACGAATGGCCCCCATGACCTCCTCGACCTTAATGCGCCTGTAGTACCTAAAGTCTCGGTGACTCTCAGAGTGCCCCAATTCACCTAGCACAATGTCCCGACCCCCCTCTTCATTTAGAAGTTTATGAAAGTAAGTATGTCGTCTCCTATTAATCTGCTCCTCTCCCATCAATACTCTACCGTCTCGTTTTTTATGCACCTCACCTGATCCAGATCCCGAGCCTTCCTCTCTCTCGCCTTGGCCAGTCGAAATAACTTCTTCTCTCCGTATTTGTCCCCCAGTTCCTCGTATAGATGACCAAATACCGCAGTCTTAACCTCTGTGATCGCCAACTTCGCCTCCTTCCTAACTACCTTATACCTCTATATTTGCTCTTCTCTCCTCCTCTCCTCCTCGCTTATGCTCTCTATTAACTTCAGGTATGCCACTTTCTTCGCTTCCACTTTACCCTGGACCACTTCATTCCACCACCAATCGCCTTTGTGCTGGCCAGAGTAACCTTTCGAGACCCCTAATACCTCTCTCATTGCCTCCCTTATACAGCACGCCATCGTCGTCTACATAGAGCTCGCGTCCCTACTACTCTTTCAGGCTCCTATATCCGATAACCTCACCCTAACTCCTAGGCTTTATCCTTAGTCAAGGTTCCCCACCTAATCCTCGATTGACCTCGTACAAACCTCTTCTTCCTCTTTATCATGATACTGACGTCCATCGCCAAGAGTCTATATTGCGTCGCGAGGGTCTTGCCTAGTATAACTTTGCAATCCCTGCACAGCCTTCTATCACACCTCCTGAGGAGGAGATAATCAATTTGCGTCTTCACCACCGCACTTTGGAAAGTAAACAAATGCTCATCCCTCTTTTGAAAACTAGAGTTCGCAATCACTATCTCAAAAGCCTTTGCGGAATCCAACAGCGAAGTACCTCCTCCGTTCCTATCCCCAAAATCGAAGTCGCCATACACCTTGCCATAGCCGCCCACAGTCGACAGAATATGTCCATTGAAATTCCCTCCTATAAATAAACTCTCAGCATGCGAAATACCATGCACAATCTCATCCAATCCCTCCCAAAAGCACCTTTTAACCTCCTCATCCAAGCCCGCTTACAGTGCGTAGGCGCTAACAACATTGATGGTGTACTCTCCGACTAGGGGTGTTCATAAAAAACTGAAAAATCGAACCAAACCGAAAACCGAACCAAACCGACTAAAAAAATCGATACTTTTTAGGTTTGGTTTGGTTTTGATTTTAAATTTTAAAAACCGATCAAATTTGGTTTGGTTTTGATTTTAATAAAAAAAATAACCGAACCAAACCGACTATAAAAGTAGCTATATAAATTTATTATTACACCTATATATATGTATATTTTTATATAAAATTTCTAAAATTTTATGGTACATATTAGTCATTTGTATTTTTGGTCTAGTTCTTTGCTATTATAATAATCTAATTCTTTGTATTCTAGTTTGATTGGTAGTTTTCTTTTGCTAAGTACAAGAATTTATTTCATGTTAAAAATAATCGATTTTTAATTGAGTACTTAAATTATTCATCACTATTTGATTCAATTATCATCAATATATCTTGGTAAATGATAGATTTCTCAAAGAGCAATTAGTTTGATAGTGTTACGTTGAAAATGTAGTCGCCGGAATATGCGTTTTGCAGTGTATGCATTATATTTAAGAAAAAACCAATAAATAACCGAAAAAACCGAAAAACCGACAAAACCCGACAAAAACCGAATCTATAAAAAACCCACTTAATTGGTTTGGTTTGGTTCCAATATTTAAAAAACTGACTTACTTGGTTTGGTTTCTTTTTAGGAAAAAACCGACCCAAACCGAACCATGAACACCCCTATCTCCAACCTCTAACTTGATAGTCATTAATCTATCATTCACCCGCCTGACCTCTACCACAGACTCTCTGAGATCCCTATCCACCAAAATACCCACTCCACTCTTACCCTTCAAAACTCCAAAGTACCACAGCTTATACCCGTCCACATCCCTCGTCTTAGATCCTACCCACTTTATCTCCCTGACACACGCTATATTGACCTTCCTCATCTGGAGAATCTTCGCCAACTCTATAGACTTACCCGTTAAAGTACCTATGTTCCATGACCAAATTCTCAACCTACAAGCTCCCTTGATCTGCTTACCTCCCTTGCCCCCCGTCTCACCCCGTGCCCCACCCTCCCCTCACACCCTGAGGACATGACCTTACTTTACCATCATAGACCACAACCACTATACCTATGATAAACTAAGGAAACCTACTAACACAGAACATGCAACGGACCAAACTGGAAGAGGACAAGTTGTAACTACGTCACGCTTCTAATATGACTAAACTAATGCAAACTAAAATGGGCACAAGTTAACTAACACACAGAAGGGAACCAGAAAACGGGAGGTACCAATTCTCGAGAGTAGGACCTGGAAATTTGACTCGGTGCACACCCGAGGTCACAGACACTGGTGTGCTGATAAGTGGGGATTTTGACTACTTATTTGCGCCTTTTGACTTTCGTTTTAGTTTTAAAATGCTTAAAGGTATTCCCGAAAACTGATAAAATATGCTTACTTACAGGAGTATTGGAAAATGAGCCAAAGTGATAAAATTCCACTCAAGAAGGAGTGATTTTGAACAAGGACAAAAATCAAGCAAAAAGGTTAAAGTGCGGACCGCAGAATTTTGTGTGCGGCCGTAGAACAAGAAGAAAATTTGACAATGCTGCAATGCAAAGTGCGAACCGCACAATAATTGTGCGGCCGCAGAAGTTAAGGTTCAGAGAGTTGGGAATTCAAGACAATCAAGATCTGCGGACCGCACTATAATTGTGCGACCGCAGAAATCAAATGTGCGGCCGCACCCAAAAATATGCGGTCCGCAGAACTCAAGATGTGCAGCCGCACCCAGAATTGTACAGTCCGCAGAACTCAAGAAGCGCGGCAGAAGTTCAGAATTTTACGGTCGCAGAAACCACTCATGTCAAGAGCTGCAGCAAAGTGCGGACCGCACACAGAATTGTGCGGCCGCAGAACCTCCTAAATGGCAATTTTGTCCAAAAAAGGCAATTTTGTCCAAAAATTCCAGCTTTGTATAAATAGACTACTTTCATGAAATTAGGTTAAGTTTTGAACATCTGAAAGTTGGTAGCCGTTTTTCTTTACTGTTTTAGGAAACTTTATCATAGCTTGTCAATTTTACATTAGGTTTTCATCTATTTATCATTAAATATGAGTTTAATCATCTTTTCTTTTTTATTTTCTTCATCACCCACTATGAGTAGCCAAATTTCTAGCTAGGGTTGGGACCCAACCCTAGTGTGGGTACCTAATAGATGTTTGATTTAGGGCTTGTTTATGGTTGGGTGTGTAATATTTAACATAGTTTTTGTTATAATACTAGAATTAATAGTTGCAAACATTGATTCAAGCATATTTGACTTAGTCTCTACTTGAGAAAGAGAGACTTAGTCTAGGAAAACTTGGCCAATAAGAAATTGGGATGAACTCAAGAAATTGATAGTCCCAATTAAAGGGTTGAATCTAGAGATAGTAAAACCCGACTGGAGCATTTATCAACTGTTTTGTGCATTACCCATTTGGACTTGAGAAAGCTAAATTGGGCAAAACCACTCTATTACCGAGAGGTATTGAGTGGGTAAGTGTGTGTTGATTGATATAATACACTCTGACCAACAAAACCCGCTCTAAAGCCCACAACCCGTTAGGCAAACACCTAGGTGGAAGTCACAACCCTAGATCTTTTACAAACTTGAAAAACAACACCAAAAATATTATTCTCTAGCTTTATATTTGCAAACCGTAGCATAATTTAGGAGTAGAATCAAAACACAGTTTGTGGAAGTGCATCTTAGACACTTTACGTGCTTAGTCCGAATATAGCATCTTAGACACTTTACGTGCTTAGTCCGAATATATACATAATCCCATTTACGCTCCCTGTGGATTCGATCCCGACTCCTAGTTGGGTATTATTATTGCAATAGACCGCTTCACAACCCCAAACTGAGGTGTGATTTGGGCGAGATCAATTTTTGGCGCCGTTGCCGGGGAGCATAAAAGACGGATTTAGCTATATATTTGGTTTTGTGTGTGAATTGTCTTCTTTTCCTTCCGTGTTACTAATCTTTTTGGTGAAACAATGGCTCTCAACAACAATGATCCTCTCGGAAACATGCCTTTGGGGGATGTGGACGTGGAAGATGACCAAGTTGAAGAGGTTCCTCCTGAATCTCAAGCAAATAGACGAGGCCGACCGCCTCAAGAAAATATTCCCCTTCCACCCCCACTTCCACCAAAAGCGGCTCAACACCGGTAGTTGCCGAATGAAGGGTATGCAAGTGCCATAGTCCGGCCCCGCATTAGGGCGGGCAACTTTCAAATCACAAATATTATGCTCACATTGCTAGAGCAACGGGGATTCTTCACCGGGGCTCTGAATCAAAATGCGTACAAACACTTGAAAGAATTTGTGGACACTTGCTGGGGGAGTAAACAGACAAATGTCTCTGAGGATGCTTTAAGGTTGAGGCTATTTCCTTTCTCACTATGGGGGAAAGCCTTGGATTGGTTAGAAAGGTTGCCAAACCATTCCATCCATACATGGGATGCATTGGCGTAGAAATTTATTTCCAAGTTCTTTTCTCCAGGGCATATGGCTACTCTTAGAGACGAGATTCTAGCATTAAAACAAGAACCCAATAAGCCTTTGCATGAGATATGGGAAAGGTACCGAACTATGGTGAAAGAGTGCCCGAACAATGACATGACTGAGGCTATGATTCAACAAACTTTCTATAAAGGGATCAATATTACCAATCAATGCGTGGTCAACCAACTTGCCGGTAGAAATTTCATGACAACCCTATATGTCGAAGCTTGTGAGATCTTAGATAAAATGATGGATACTTCATCGGCATGGAAAAGTAGAGCAAATGTTCCTCAAGGTGATCCAAATGTGATTCACCTACATAAAGAATTATATGATCACGGGCAAGCAATTGCCGAGTTGACCACTACAATAAATCAATTAGCCAAAGCTCAACTTTAACAAGTTCAGGGTCCTAAGCAAGTAATTCAATGGAAGGAGTAAATATGATGGTGAACAACCGAAGACAAAAAGGTCAACGAGTGCAAAACCGTGCGGAACAATATGTGCAAGAAGATAGTGGGTTTGACCAAGATGAATCTTACAATGAACAAGAGGAGTAATTACAATATGTGAACAACTTCCAAGGGCAAAGAAACAACTCTCAAGGACCGAATCAACAACAATGGCGATCTCAAGGTAATCAAGGGAATTGGAACAATCAAAACAACCAAAGCAATTGAGGTGGCAATAGTCAAGGATATTAGGGAGGCAACAACCAAGGGGGATGGAACAATAATCAAGGGAATCGGGGGTCAGGTTTTCAAAGGCCCCCGATGTATCAAGAACCAAGCAACTCGCCTCCTTATCCTTCCCCCCAACAATGAGATGGGGCGAATTGAGAAAATGTTTAAACAAATGATGGAGAAGAATGCTAACTCCGATGCTCAACTAGCTACTCACAACACTTCAATTCATAATTTGGAAGTTTAATTAGGGCAAATCTCGCAAGCTTTAAACACTCGTCCTAAGGGGGCACTACCAAGTGACACGGTGGTGAACTCGAAGGGTGGTAACAACACGAGACATGCCATGGCCGTGACTATAAGGAGTGGAAAAGGTGGGGATGTAACCACCTCAAGTCAAAGAAAAATTGTGGATGATAAACAAGTGATTCAAGAAGATGAGATTCCAAATAGTGTGGTGCAAGCAAATGACGAAGGGAGAATTGATATTGATGAAAATATGGAGGATACTCAAGAAGAAGTGAATCTGTCTAGGGAACACATTGTTGACATATCGGAACCGGTAGTGTCAAAGGCTAAGGCACTAATGCCAAGGCCTCCTCCTCCATGCCCTCAAAGGCTTGCCAAGCAAAATAGCTAGAACCAATTCAAAAAGTTCATTAACATGATGAAGAGCTTATCTATTAATGTGCCATTGGTTGAGGCTTTGGAGAAATTACCCAGATATGCAAAGTTCATGAAGGATTTGGTGGCAAAGAAGATATCGATGAATTGTGAGACTATAAAGATGACACATCAAGTGAGCGTAATTGTGCACTCAATGGCTTCTAAATTGGAAGATTCCGGAGCTTTCACAATCCCTTGCACCATTGGAAGCGACGACTTTGCCAAAGCTCTTTGTGATCTAGGGGCGAGTATTAACTTGATGCCCTACTCGGTTTTTAAAACGTTGGGGATTGGGCAACCAAGATCCACCTCTATAAGGCTACAAATGGCGGATCGTACTATGAAGATACCATTGGGTATTATTGATGATGTGTTGATTCGAGTTGATAAGTTCATCCTCCCGGTAGACTTTGTGATTCTTTATTGTGAAGTGGACAATGAGGTGCCTATTATTTTGGGTAGACCTTTCCTTGCTACGGGGAAGGCACTTATTGATGTGGAAGCCGGCGAGCTCACCTTCCGGGTGGGTGATGAAAAGGTGCTTTTCTATGTGTGCAAATCTATGAGGCGACCGAATAGCAATGAAGTTTGTTCATTTGTGGACTTAGTGACCGAGGTGATTGTTGATGATGCTAGTGCCATGATGAATGTTGATGATACTTTGGAGGTCGTATTGCTTAACCATGATGATGATGAGAAGGATTGCTATGTGGAATGTGTGAATGCATTGCAAGGAATGGGGTCGTACACTTATTAACCCCGCAAATTGTCCTTAGATCTTGAAAACTGGAAGACTCCTCTAACAAAAGCCCTCAATCGAGGAGCCTCTCACTTAAGAGTTAAAGCCATTACCTCCACATCCCAGGTATGAATTCCTTGGCCCGTGTTCTACTTTACTGATTATTCTTTCTTCTTGTTTGACTAACGTGCAGGTAGACTCTACTTTGGCGGTGCTACAAAAGAGGAAGAAAGCTATCGGATGGACATTGGCGGATATTCGGGGTATAAGCCCCGCCTTTTGCATGCACAAGATT